TAGCTTCTGGGTTAAGGATATGGGCTTATGTCTACTGCTCCTGTCAGCACTGGGACCTTTTCTGGCCCATCCTGTGCAGCTGCCTTAGACTCCATGACTTTGTATTTGCCTTGTCTCCATTGTGTCCTCCATCCACTCTGGCTCTTTCAGTGTTTTTGCCTACTCTTCCACAGGGTTCTCAGAGCTGTGAGAGGATTGACAGACACCCAATTTAGGTCTCCTACTTCCATATTTCTCACTCCCTGCACATTGTCCAACTATGTGTCTTTATATTTGTTTCCATCTACTACAGGGGACAGATATTTTGATGACTAGTGAGCAAGATGCTCATCTATCATTATAGCAGAATGTCCTCAAAAGTCATTTTGTTTCCATGTTCTCTAGCATAACAATAGTTCCATAGGTCCCTGGCCTATGTAGTCTCAGGTTACTGTATAGGAAAGATAATGATTTTTATATGTTAATTTTATATCTTACTACTTTGCTGAATGCATTTGCCAGTTGTAAGAGTTTTGGGGTTATTTTATGTATAGAGATATACCATCTGCAAAGAAGTATACTTTCACTTCTTCCCTTTCTATTTGTATTCCTTTATCTACTTCTCTTGTCTTACTGCTGTAGTCAAGATTTCAGGTGATTATATTGAACATTCATGGAGAAGGTGAACACCCTTGTATTCTTCCTGATTTTAGTGAATTTTTCCCTATTTATTATAATGTTAGCAATGGACTTTTCATGTATTATCTTTATTATTAAGGATGTTGGATTTTATCAAAGACATTTCCTGTATTTAATGAGATCATATTCTCTGCCCTTGAATCTTATATGTTGGATTACATTTATTAATTTATGATGTATGTTGATTCATCCATAGCTCTCTGGGATGATCGTAGTAGGTAGGTATATAGCTTATAAGAATTGATTTATAAAGAAGACCTTTCATACAACAAATTAACAGATTCAGACTAGATGATGATTGGCCTCTCTTTTCAATTATACAATGTAAGACAATATCTAACATTAGTGAACTTTTAAAACATGGTCATTTGACAGGACTAAATTTCAGATTTCCATGAGAATATGGGTATTTAAAAATCAATTATACATGTATTTGTGATCAAATTATAGTAATATACATGTTTCATTTATTTATGTAGAGTCTCTCAAGGATGCAATCCGAGATTTGAAATTATATCTGTATTTTCATATGCACTTGAACCTCCCTGTTACCAAGTGCATATTCATACTCATTGTAAGAGTTCTTGGTATAACCAGCTAATAAATTCATTGCCCTCTGGTTCCCAAACAACAATGTAACGTATTATAGACTCAAATGACTGCAAACATCAAACAGCCTGCATCTTTGAGATGCCACTATTAAAAACATGGTGGGAAATCTTTGATGTTATCAGATGTGATGGAAACTACTCATTTGTATTTGTGTAAATCCTGTAGCACTCCCCTAACCTCTAAATAACCTGAACCAATTTCAAGTTCCCAAGGCTCTTCAAAACAGTCTTCTTGGAAGTAATGCTGATGGTATTCCAGATTTCAAGAAGGCTTGCTTTTGGCATTTCGAGACTACAAGAAGATCTGAAATTCTTCTTTCAAAGAGAAAAGATATTACTTACTTTTTACTGAAATAACTAGGCTCTTGTTTAATGAGCAAAATGTCACAGGTAATGAAATTACCTAAAGCAATGAAAAAAAAAACTGTACATAACTGTGTGGATGAGAGCCTTAATAATGCAGGGGATTCCAGGGAATCCTGGGGTCTAAATATTTAGATACTTCATGCTGCAGTTCTTTCCTATTCTGCTGTTGGAATGTAAACAGTGTGGGCCATGTGGCCAAGCAACTGTACACAACTGTAATTAGTTCATATGCTCCTGAATGGGGTGTCTGTAAAGCTGAAGACAGCCCTCTGTGTGTGCTGGACTCCAGTGCCCACAGGGAGCCTAGGCCACATAATTCAGAACATTCAGAGCATGAATAGCTCCAATAGCAGGAGAGTTGGTCTGTGGCTTCTTAAAAGGCTTCGGATTTGTGGTTAGTAGGAACATTCATTCACAAACCTATTCAGTCTGAAGGCTACAGTGGACCCAGTAAAGTTCCACCATCGTTTAATTAGGTTGCCAGTAATTGCTTTAAGTAAATGGGGAATATGGGGGGGGGGAGTCAAACCTGAGGTTATCATCTCAGAATAAGAAAATATTTGTATGTGGTTTTTATATCCGTAGCCATTTGTTGCTGTTCTGCATTTTAGAAAGAGCCATTATAGTTAGAGGTAAACACATACTGCAGGTTTATCAGGCCTTTGGTGAGTGTAAATTTCCTGCAATAACTTTAAAGGAAGAGTTTTGTTTCCAGTAACTGGACTTCCACATAAAGAGGGCACATTTCAGCAGGAAAGGCAGGCCAAAGCACTAAGCATTAGAGGGTAAGGAGTAAAAGGAGGTGGGGGTTGAGAACGGAGGCTGTCTTTCTTTATTTGACAGCAAAGATTTCTAGTTTTAATGAGAAAAACTGTAACAAAATTGGAAAACTGGGACCTGAGAAACACCCAGGGAATAGAAGGAAAGTTTTTGCTTAGGATTCTTGCTGGAAAGATTGTTCTGTGAGTTAGACATTGATGAGCATAATTCTTTCTGTCCTTCTCACTGTTGGACAATGGATTAGACTACACCATTTACTGGAAAGTAACTTTAAAATGATATTAAATTATGAATGTTTGACAATAGACTTGGCCCTTCGGGATCTGGTCCTACCCTGGATATGTAATACATGCCTTCCTAGGCTTCAGTATATTTCTTTTTTCAAGAGATTAAGGGCCTATAAGTCAAAGCCCATTAGTTCTTGATAGAAAATACTGTTCATCCCTCCATAGGATGAATTAGTCCTTCTCTGAAATGATTTGAATACTTCTTAGATATTATTTGGATTCCCATTTCAAGATTTCTAGAAGCCCTATGCTTTCATGTCACCCATGATAAAAAATATTTTAAGCATCATAAATATCTCATAGCTTATGAAACTCTGAACACACACACACACACACACACACATATGTACAGATATTGTCTGTCTCACATATTTATTTAATAGTTCTCTGCCCTGGTCTTTGAAACACCTAAATAATATAACATGGCTTTCAGAAAAAAATACAAGAATTCTCCAACTTAGCATATACCTTGCTAAAAGCCTAGATGCCTGGCCCCTTCTCCAGTGATTCCTAATCAATGAATCTTGAATTAGGCCTGAGCATCTGCATTTCCTGCAGGTCCTCAAGTGATGTTGAGAATGCCATTCTGGGAGTCCCACTTTGAGAAACATTCTAATACCAATGTCCAAACAGTACCCTTATTGTTTCTACTTCCATTTCATACCTCTGCTCTCTGACAAGTGTTTGGTAGCCTTTTTGATCCCCAATCTCATTATTCTCTCTTGCTTCAACCTATATGTTGAACACCTCTTAGAACATGATGTAAATAAAGTAACTCCTATGTCATCAATCTTAGTAGACTGAGTTCTTTTTTCATTTACTTTTTTCACTACATAACTTCTTTGCAGAATTCAACATCACTAACATATTATTAAATAAGTAAATTCATTAATAATGATATCCCATTGTTAATATGAGCCTGCTTCACTATATATATCTTATTAAGATTGGTAAATATCTTATTCATTAAAATTCCACAAGTGCCTGATACAGTATTTGCAATATAATTGATACTTGATCAAGTACCAATGGTCAATGAATAGACTGATGAATATAAAGTTAATAGAAGTACACTTTTTCAGCCTAGATATATGGGGAAGGACCTAGGCCCTTCCCCAAATGATATGACAGACATTGAATACTCTCCTTGTAAGGCCTCACTCTCCCTGGGGAGCACAAAGGGGATGGGCTGGGGTAATAGGGGAGGATAGTAGGGTGAAGGAATTGGGATTGACATGTTAAACAACCTTGTTTCAAATTTCCAAAAAATAAAAGGGGGGGGGTAAAGTTAATAGACAAACGCAAATTCATTCTATTATTCTTACTGAGCCATACTTGGCTCAGAGCAAATTCCCTTGCTCCTTTTGGTGTTTAGCTGGTGTTCTCAACGAACACTTCATTATGAATATGTGTACATTCACACTCCACATGAACTGTAAGTTGCTCACATATATGACCCAATTAATCCTTCCTGGTCAGTACAAAGAAACACACTGCAGCATGAATCTCAGCAACCACCATAATACCTCAAATAAATACCAATGAAATGGGAATCCCTGGCTAAACCTTTGTTACTCGAAATACCAAAATTGAGATTATTTCAACACTGTGGCTAAGGACACTTCTTTGGGGTTCAATAATAATACAATTACAGATAAACACGTGAATTTCCACACAATCATACAGGAAAACCGTTTAAAAGTCATATATAGTTTAATTAACTGAAAGTGTAATGTATTTCAATTAAAAATGATATACTATTTTATTTTAAGCAGATATGTTAAAGAGGCCTATAATGATCACCACTGATGTTATAGATTTAGATTATTGTCTTTCTTTTCTTGAAGTACTAAAAAAGACTCCATTGTGAAAAGCTTGGCAATACATGGGCATCCTAGCCACAACCTATATAAATAAAATAGAATCTTGAGGAAACATGAAAGCCAAGATGATACAATTTTAATAACTGAGAGATATAGCCTGGTAGGTGAATGTTATCGTATTAGATAGGAAGAAATGCCATTATGTGAAGCTATAGATTGACTCCACTTTCATCTCCAGACGAATAATGAAGACTTGAAATAGCAATCAAAAAGAATAAATACACGGAGTACACTAATTGGAGTCTTCATAAAGTGGCAGGCAGGGAGAAATATCTGGATGGTGATCGATGGCTTCATGTGGGATCCCTGGCAAGGAGGGAGGGGGACAGAAGTATGCTTGCTTCATGGTTCATGTGCATATCTTCTTTGACTTGAACCTTTGTTTCTCTTGTCAGGTCTCATTGTGAGGGAAGTGAGCATTGAGATTTCACGCCAGCAAGTGGAGGAACTGTTTGGGCCTGAAGATTACTGGTGCCAGTGTGTGGCCTGGAGTTCAGCAGGCACTACAAAGAGTCGGAAGGCATATGTGCGCATTGCCTGTGAGTAATTGCCTGTGTACATTCATGGGTCCAAACTATGGGAATGCTTAAAAGCTTTGACAGTGGTTGATCTGACTGACATCAAAGAACTCTAGTCAGAGTTTCCATTCAAAAACTGCCCCCATGGGCCGTGGTGGCACATGCCTTTAATCCCAGCACTTGGGAGGCAGAGGCAGGCAGATCTCTGTGCTTTGGAAGCCATCCTGGTACACACAATAGTTCCAGGACAGGCTCCAAAGCTATTCAAAATAAACAAAAAATTGCCCCCAGAGTTCTGCATTTGAACCATACATAGCTCCTCTGAACTCACCTTATTTTTGTTTTTTGTTTTTTTGTTTGTTTGTTTGTTTGTTTTTTTCTTTGAAAGTACTGAGGAACTCCCATTAGCTTTTGACTTGATTTTAGTGCTAGTGGCAATCAGACTACAGTAGAATCAAATGTCATTCATTCTGGTTTTTTGTTTTGTTGTTTTTAATTGTTGATCAGTGTTTCTATGGGAACTAGATGGTCCCAGGCCAAGGTTCCCTGGTTCTGCTGAAGCTATGCTAGTGTATTGGAACACACCTCCAAAATGTTAATTTCTAAAACATCATACTGCAGAATTGGGTAAAGGTACCTCTCAAAAAGGGACATCATGGGAATGTAAGGACCATTTTTTGTTTTAAGTAGTTACAGAGATTTCTTTGTAAAGCTTCTTTGCTTCATTGATATGCTAATCTGAAGGGATTAGGTCTTATCTCCACAGAGCCTCTTCTCAACCTGTAGCCTTCCCTCTGGAACAGTGTGAAGGCTCACAGAGCCTATATTCATGCCCTGCTGTCAGTCTTTCTAATGCATGATGTGACCACTGAAAGCCATGTTTTATTTGAGGAACTTGTACCACTGCACTTCACTAAATCATGTTTTGTGGTAGCTGTTACTATCACATTACTGACTGATGTCAATATGATCATCTCTAGCTTTCCTTCCTCTTAATGTAGATCTGTGATGCTTCCCCAAGAGCTAGTGTCCCTGGTCACCCCTGTAGCCCTCTGTACAATCAGCATAGCCTTCCTAAAACACAGGCCTCATCTCACTTCCACCCCACTTCACAACAGTAGAGAATTGTCAGAGAAATGCAAAATGCCATACCAAAACTACAAAGACTATTGTAGAAATTCTCTTTGATGTAGTTTTGAAGACTAGAGGTTCAAGATCTGGGTACCAACAGGCTTGGTTTCTCCTGAGGCCTCTCTGTACTTAGCAGACAGCTGCCAGCTCAGAGTCCTCAAAGGACTTGTGAAATCCCTCCCTGGTTGTCTCTTCATGTGTCTCCATTCTCTTTCTAATAAGACATAGTTGGGTTGAATTATGATCCATCTAGACAAACTTAGTTGAAATTAATCACTTCTTAAACGACCTCATTTTCCAAATGCCATCATATTCTAAGCTATTGAAAGTTGTGGATAAGCATATGAATTGGGGAGGGAGACACAGCTTAGTGTATAATAACTACATGCCATGATCTATCTCCATTACCAGCACCTCTATCCCTGATCACTAAGCATCTCTAAATGCTATTTGGACTTGAACTATTCCAGTTTCTTTGTCCTTCAACTGTAATTCATGCCTACTTGTTTCAGCCTGTATTTACCTTCATGATTTTTAAAGGCCAATTTCTTCAGCAAACATCTAATCAAGATTTTTTTTTCTGTCCTTGGATAGTTTTATACTTTGAGAGTGACCTGGCGAGACAAGGTAAACTCTAGATAAAATACATAATAAGCAGGTAGGACCAGATGATGTGTGCTGAGAAATAAACCAAGCAGGGCCAGGGAGAAAGGCTTAGGAGAAAGGGGTCATGTCTGCTGTGAAGCCAAGCTCTGACTCCCTGGTCCAACACTAGAAGCAGGAGTGAAGGAGTTATAGAGAGAGACTTGCAGCAGACAAGTACATTGGAGATTGCTAGATGACAAGAGCAATGTAAGACCTGCGAGTCGGGAGAAAATGGGAGAGTGAAGAGTTAGGGCTAGGCAGGTGTTGGACATTGGTGGTTTAGTATGATTTGGAATTTCGCACTAGTGAGAAGCCCATCTCACCTCTGTTCAAAGAATCTCTGACTGCATAGCAATGAGAAGTAATGCCAAATGACAAGGATATATTTAGGAGGCTTCTACTTAGGGCCTGTGTGGGATTGACACAGAAGGGAGCAGTGTAAAGGTGTGGAGACCAGGATTCTACACAAATTAAAACAGAAATGAAGGCTTCTATTGAGTGTTGGGATGTGGGTGTGAAAAGATGGGTGAAAAATTTTATTCACGAACATAAACTTTTGACTGATTTTTATTCCTTCCCTCTCCCCTTTTCAAGCTCAATTGTCTGATTTTGCTTGCTTGTTTTCACTTGCTGTAGTGTTATGTTTCTTAACAGTGTGATCCTTGCAGTGAAGAATTCTATTTTACATATCCTTGTACCTTCAGGGTTTAGAACAATGGCTGTGATATACTATATGTTTAATAGATGTGTCTGAATGAAACCCCTGATGAAGAATTCCTTATGAAAACACTGAAAATGAATGTTCCTCTCTAAATCTATATTTGTTTCATGTCCTAAGTGGATTTTCCATTAAGTGGCTATGATATCAGATACCCTGAAAGGATAACTATTAACAATTGCTTTTACGAACAACACACAAAGTTTATTACAGATGTTACATGGAGTATTGAATCAATTGTTTTGGGCACAGGGAGAAATTGTACTGTTGTTAATACCACAAGAAGACCTGGAACTGTGATGACCTTTGAGGCAAAGGAAACTAGGCTCTTCTTTTCATCCACATTGACAAGTCAAAGGGTGTGGATTCCCTACTCACTTCCTACTCCCATCAGATTATGACCCAGGATGAAACAGCTTCTCTCAAAAGGGAGGAAGGGTTTCACCCAGTACTGCATACAGGTGGGATCAGACTTGAAAGAAACCAAACTCTCCCCTGGTACCTTCTCACTCTGGTGATAATTTTCGAGTGATTTGCCTATAATTTCATAATTAATTGAAATCACATGTGACCAAGCCATGCCATTTCATTCATGACTATTTAGTCACACAGATATAGATCATGATGAAACTCAACAAAATGGTGTAACTTTCCCTCTTTCAAGGATGCTCCCTGCCATGTTGACCTTCCTCATGCAACACACGTTTTGTAGATTTTTGAGTCTTGTCCATATCAAATGATATGAATACAAATGAGCTTTGGATTCAAATGTGCTTTGAATAGTGATGTTGGATGGATGTTCATCCCATAAACAGCAATTCCAGTTTATATTTGTCACAGTTGAACATATTCATAAAGCAAAGGTTAAATCCGTGTGATTAGTAAACTCTACCCTGATTGTTATTCTACTTCATTAAAAAGCTCTGTTTTCAGAAATGTATGAACGGAATGAATGAACAATGATTAATATTTACAACCAATAGTTCACATATCTAAACTCTATCAAATGAAAAATTATGTAGTGACACAATCTGAAGAAAGGGAAAGTTAGAAATTTAAAAGTAAATTATTTAGCAAGAAATTAGCTGCAAACATACCTTCCCTAATCAAAATCCTTCACTTACACTAGAGGTGTCAGTTTTCTGGGGTTGGGGGGTGACTTCCTGTGCAGAGGGAAATGTCCTCAGAGAGCACCCAAGGGCATATGCCCCAATGACTATACTGTGGAGAGGGTGGGTGCTTCCCAGGGGTTTCTTGTTCAAAGCCAATTAGAGGAAACCCAAGGTGTAAGGGAGGAAAGGACAATCCAAGTACACTCTTGAGCAAGGCTGTCAAGGGAAGGTTTGGGATCAATTTTCTTGCTACAATAATGGCACTGATAGTGGCTGTTCTTTGATTGTTGTCTTTTGGGAAGAAGGGGATGATGGGAAAAGAGCAACTATAAATGAAACAGTTAAGCACATTTGACTCCAGCTCCAGACCAGGCTGTATTATGTTCAAATCCTCCTTCCATCACCGACAAGTGAGACATTGTTCAGATTACTTAACCTCTCTGAGCCTTAATTTCATGAACCATGACATTAAAATGATAGGATTGCTTTGAGATTAAAGGAAGTAAATTTTCTAAGCATGTGGCAGAGTGCCAGGACATAAATCAAGTGCTCAAGGAATAAAAGCAGGTGCTCATGCTACCAGCTACCCCAGTTCCAATGGCTCTATACACTTGTTTTAAAACTTACACATATTAAACATTGGGAGTAAAAATCTCTCCTTCTTTCATGCTTTGATGTCCAGCTCAGCTGTCAATCCAGAAGGCTGAAATGGTCTTCCAATTCACACAACATGGGACCATAATTTCTCCTCATGCCTAAGGATAGAAGAGTGAGCCACATGGTAACTGCTCTCCTACAAATCTTGTGACAGTGGGATGTGTATGCACAAAGAATCCATCTTCCTAGAAATGTCAGGACACTTCATTGGAATTCCTCTTGAGGCACACGTACTAACCTGTAAGTCAGGGTCGTCTCATAGAGGCTACTGACAATAGGCAGGTGTCAGACAGTTCTCAGAATGGGAGCCAAGGTGACCTTTTTGCTTTCTTCCCACATCTCACTGGACCTTTCCATATGATCGAACTGTCTCTAATAGAAATGTGATGCCGGCTACATCTGTCACCTACACTCTACTAGCGTCTGTTTCCAAAAGTAAACCTATAAGCAAATGAAATTAACTGTAATAATGTATTTCATTTAGTTTCATATGTACAAGAGCAATTGCTGATCCCCCAGTGTTGTGTTATAAGTGACAGAGTCCACATTTTTATTTCAAAGAGATTGACTACATAGTTTAGACATTGTTATACAAGGGAGAGATGTTTTAACAACTTTGCTCTTGTTTTATGTAGCACTAAACAGTTTATTGTGGATTATATGATAAGATTAAAACCTAGAACCCATGGCTGAATGTATTTTTCCAAATATGTGTGCTTTTGTCTATGGACAAAAAGCTCTCAAGTTTCATGAGACCT